GGGGCCGCTGCACCGGGCCGGGAGGCCTTTACAGGGGGCCGCTGCACGGGGCCGGGAGGTCTTTACATGGGGCCACTGCACCGGGCCAGGAGTCGTCACCAGAGGCTGGGAGTCATTGCTGGAGGCCGGGTGTCACAGGGAAAAAAAGGAGAATAAGTAAAGAAAGCACTCAGAGGAAGAAAAAGAAGAAAAGAAGAAGAACAAGTAGAGCAGATGAGCTCCGGCTGTAGCATACTACTCCACCTCCATCTTGCAACATCTAGGGACTGAGTCCCAGGATTCTGACCCAGTGACACTGAAGGAAGGGCGATTATATTTCTAAGTTAGGATGGTATGTGGTCAGAATTTTCAAGTGATTGTACTCCCATGTATCTTCTGATGGCCTTGTCCTTCGAGATGGAGCCTGCCTCTATTTCAATCCTCTTGCCCATTTTAGCAGTTTGTGGGGGAAGGGATTGGTGGATATCTCTGCAGAAGTAGTTTTGCAAAAATTATATAAGTCACTTTTACCGCATCTTGAATTGCTGAGAACAGCTATAGGTCCTCTTATCTTTATGTCATCTGGTTATAGTGGGTCACCTTTCTTTTATTCATTCACGGGATAAGGGGCGTCGCTGGCCAGGCAGCATTTATTGCCCCATCCCTAATTGCCCAGAGGGCAGTTAAGAGTCAACCACATTGCTGGGGTCTGGAGTCACATGAAGGCCAGGCCAGGTAAGGATGGTAGTTTCCTTCCCTAAAGGACATTCGTGAACCAGATGGGTTTTTTCTGACAATGGATTCATGGTCATGATTAGACCCTTAATTTCAGATATTTTAGTCAACTAATTTATGGATATATAAGGCCAATGCTCTGAGATTGACTCAAATTGTCTTGTAGGCCCATATGCCCTCGCAGTGCCAAAGTTCAGCCAACGCAGAGAGGAAGCCAGATCAAACATAATTTTAAATCACATTCCACAATCCCTCACCTTCCACCTCATAGCAGACACACATCTGTAGCTGTGCACTGCCGTGTGACAGAACTCCAATCTCCTTCAGAGGGTGCCTGTACGTTGAGCTGTCGCCACTCTTCTTCAAGGCAGCTCTGATGGTTCTGCTGCTGATCTGCAAGTGTTGGTGGAGTTGGTCTCCTACTCACAGGCCAACCACAGCAACCTGCCTGCCAACGTCAAATGGGCAGTCAGCCTGCTCCCTGGTAAATTGGTCAGGTGTCAGCTACCTCCACAATGCGGGTTTGAGACCTGGAAATACATTCCCTTCTTTCCAAGTTAAAATCCAACCCAGGGCATCACTGAATCACTGAGATCCTGATGTAGTTCCATGCACTGTGAAGGCTATCAATTCAACACTAACAAATCTCCCTGAGGGGCAACCCAGATTTACAGTTTTGGAAGGGTGCTATATGCCAGTACAATTATTCATGTTCATAATTATTATTTGTTCTTAAGATGTTTATGGTGCTGTAAATATCACATATATCGGCCTTACCTAATTGCTAGAATGTTGTGGAGATGATAAGCCTTCTTGAGCTGAAGTCACCCAACTCTCCGATTTGCATAGGGAATGCCAGGAGAGGGGCAATGAAGAAACAATGATGTTTGTCTGAGTCAGCATGGAGTCTGACTGGGATGTAATGATGTTGCTGGTTTTGCGTGCTGCAGCTATAGAGGTCATTAGGGAGCGAGGGCATGCTGAGGAACGATTGATGAGTTGCTCAGAGCTTTTTGCAGATTGAAGACAGCGCTGCAACGGATAGTTCTGTGTTCGGCAGGGAAGCTTGCATATTCCATTTCTTTTGGAATCCTGTATGGAGGCTGGAGAGGTGGGTGTTTGGAAAGTAAGCCTCTCAGTACCCAATTTTCATTAAAACAGAAATCTGATCAAAGTTATGAAGGTTTGATAACATAAATTATTGAAAGCAAATTCCAATATTCAGTAGGTAGACAATTATAAGGCAATCATTTAAAGGCATTATCATCAATATAACAATGTCAAAATCTTACATTTATTAGGCAGCCTTAATGTAGAAAAATATCCAAGGTGTTTCATTTGAGATAACAAGAAAAATGGATACTGAACAGAGATGTTTGAAAGGCTCATCCATACCTGGTCAAAAATATTAGTTTTAAAAAGGAAGAGGGAAGGGACATAGAGAGCTAAGGTCCCGACTGAGCTCATTTCACAAGCCAGTACTGAGCTGAAGAGAAGAATTAACTTTTTAAAAAAAATGGAAACAAACGGTTAAAAAGATAAAGCAACCACACGTATTTCATTCAGCCTGTGTTATTTTGCTAATGCGTACAGCAGATTATTTTGAAGAGATGGGAGCAAATTATACACGTGGGCTCTAAAATGTCCTGGCAAAACGCCCAAGAGTAAATAGAAACAGCCTAACTACTTTGCAGTTCCGCAAAAACAAAGCACAACCTTTAAGTGTCTGATCTGCCAAATTTGATATGATTGTCACTCAGCAGCCTTCGGCATACACTCTCGGAATGATCAATTATGCCCTGAAGCTTCTGATAACTGAAAGAAAGCAAAATTGTGATGCTTAACAGAACTGGTTGCACCAACTGAGGATGGTAAAAGGCTCAGAATAATAGCAGTAACTTCCAGAATATGTCTACTCTCCCATTCCAAACACTTCCATCGACTGTGTGCATTACCACACTGGACCACTCAAGATTTCAACTCTGATTCAACTCAAATTGACTGCATTAAATGGAATTGATGCCCAAAGTCGCTGGTTTTCAAGTAATGCCACATGATGCCAATGGATTAGCAAATGAGCACTTTGGGCTGAATCTTATGTCTTTTTAGGCAAGCGCAAGTTGTGTTGAGATCTTTGGAGGGATTCTTGCCGAGATTTCACACCGCACCTGATCAAACACACTTCATTAACTATTTACCTTTTCCCTATAGTCTGATTCCAGTCCTATATCACCAAATACCATACCAAGAAGATCTCACCACTCAGTAGGTATCCCTCACATTCCTGCCATCTTCAAAAGGCCGTGTTGAGCACTGGCATTCCAAAGCTGCCCTACCTGTTATGTGAAGATGTCTGAGAAGGGGAAGAAGGCACTGTGATTCTCTAACATGGATCTGGTTGAGGTATGCTGCAAAGCAGAGGAGCCCCCTTCCCAGAGGACAACAATGGGAGGCCACACCACCAGACCCTGACAGCCTGGCTTGAGATCACCACCCAGGTCAGTGTTACTTCCTCAGTCCAGAGAAACACCAGCAATGCCAAAATGTCAATGACCATCTCAGTTGCACCAGTGTTAACGCCACACTCTTCTCTCTTCACTCTTCTCACACTCACTCCATCTCTGCTACTGCACCCATCTCCCGGCAAGACTCGTGCTCTGGCACTCTCACTGTTGTCTGCAACACCTTCCCTCACTCGGTCTCAACAACCCCAATCCCTGGCAGCAATAACCCTGTAATACCACTGCACTGCCTAATTACTCACTCGGGACACCTTTCGTCCACATGCACCAGCACCAACAGTTGTGCCAGCCACTTTCATCTCATCCAATTCCTCTCTTTCTCTCAGTACAGGAGAAAACAGCCCACAATAGGTCAGAAAGGGTGGGATCCCCAGTAAAATTATATTCCCCTCAAGAGGAGAGTATCCTGTCCCTCACAAGAGAAGATTCGGACTCCCCACAACTGAGTAAGTACCACTCTTTACTCCACTGCAACGCTTACAGTATTCCTGCTGTCGGTGTTGTTCATTGTACATTGTTTCTAATAGAAGGCATCTCCTCAACCTCTGAGGAAGAGAATATTGGGATCTCAGACGCACATCAGCAAGGCTGCCTCCAGCATCCTCCATCAGATCAGATACTCTCGGTACAAACGTTAGATTTAGAAAGAGTGGGAGCACAATCAGGTGAGCATCTCACTAAGACAGCTCCTCAGGTGGCTGAGCAACTACAGTGCCAGGTCGCTGGCACTCGTAGGACTACTAGAGATCAGGCACCTGCTCAGCTCCAGGCAGGTAAGGACTCTGTGGGAGGTGTCTGCATTCAGGGACATCATCCACATACATAGAGAGGAACAGGAGCAGCAGACGGGTATGCAGGAGGTAATAGCTCTCATTGACTCGAAACTACAGGACTTCAATGGCACTATAACGGCAAGATGGCGGCAGGGTAAGAAGTTCCAGTAGGAGCTCCTCCGCTCACCAGTTCCTTTTTCTTTTCCTTTCTTTCTTTCTCCTCTTTGCTGTAGTTTCTTTCTTCACCACCACCACCCCACCCAAATTTTACCAACCCCTACCTGGAGAAAGGAGTCAAGGGAGACAGGTCGTAACCGGAGACCAGGCAGGGACTGACCGCACGGGCCACATCCCGCAACGGCAGCACAGTGAGCACGGGCTGAGTTGCGGACTGCATCCTGAAGCAACAGAGGGTCTGAGTCCCGGAGAGACAGAGGGTCCGAGGCCCGGAGCGGTGGGCGGGCCAAAATCCCAGACTGACGGCAGCAGGGGAATCCCCAGTCCTGGAGCGACACGAGGTGAAGCGAGATAACAAGGTGTAGAGCTGGAGGAACACAGCAGGCCAAGCAGCATCAGAGGAGCAGGAAAGCTTTGGGTCTGGGAAGCAAATGCCGTTACAGTGTGACTTACCTTGTTGCTGCTGAGTGCCGGTGAGGAGCGGGCTGGAGGCTGGAGCGATGTGGGACAGTTGTTGGACTTGGGCCTGGTGCTATGTGCTGAGCTGTTGCTGATTGGTACTCTTTACCAGACTGTAGCCTAAATCCTTTTCACAGTGTCATAATTAACTCATTTCTAATTTATTCTTAGACACTGTAAGTAATGCTACACCTTTCCTTTTTATCCTCTTTTGTATAACGACAATATATTTTTTACTCTGTAAGATTTGTACCTAGGTACTTGTACCTAAGATGGTGCCATTAAAGGCAGCCATTATAAAAACTTTTCACTGTACTCTTATACTTCTATACAAGAGTACAAGTGACAATAAAGGATATTCTATACAAATACAAGCTGATGTTGCTACAGGCTAATAGCAGGGTGGATGAAAGCTATAAGCTATTGGGCAGTCTAAAGGTGAACTGTTGGCATTCAGTTAGGTCACAGGGAGAGACAGAAAGAACTGTTGATGTTGGAGCTAGAGGTAACACAGTGTAGAGCTGGAGGAACACAGCAAGCCAGGCAGCATTAGAGGAGCAGGAAAGTCGACATTTCGGGTCGGGACCCTTCATCAGGACTGGGAGAGGGGCTTGGTCAGAGTCTTAAATGTTGGTAAGATGGGGAATTTCCTTCTTTTTTAAAAATTATTCATTCATGGGAGGAGGGTGTCTACTGGCTGTATCAGCATTTATTGCCCAGAGGGCAGTTAAGAATCAACCACATGTAGGTCAGACCAGGCAAGGTCCTTACCTTACCTACCATGGTGGGATTTGAACCTGGGTCTGGAGAACATAACATGGGTCGGTGGATTAATAGGCCAGTGATAATACCTCTAGGCTACCATTTCCTCTTGGAAAGTTTAAAAAGTGACTTAAAAAGCCTTTTTGTACTTTTAACCAAATTTCCCCAGGAGGGGCTATTTAATCAAATACAAGTATTTAGGAGGCTCTTACCTTGATTCATCACTTACAAGGACAAGGCTCAGGGGAACACCACTATCAACAAGTTCCACTCCAAATCACACACTTTAACGACTGTTCCTTCATTGTCGCTGAGTGAAAATTCTGACAACCTCCTGACAGCACTGTGTGTCACCCTACCCCACAGAGAGTACATCGGTTCATGAAGGCACCTTGCCACCACATTATCAAACATGATTGGGATGGGAAGTAAATGTCAGCGTCAACGTCCATATCCAGTGAACTTTTTTGAATGATTACATTAAAAAAAGCAATAATTATGTGCATACACCTAAGCCCAGCATAACTGTTACCATATCACCATTTATTTATTACCATTTAATGATGCAATTGAGAGCCCTTAGCCAATTTCAAAAACCTTCAACAACTGTTGTGGAAAATTACTCTCAGTTGGTCTGTTTGAGTTCATTCCACATTCGTGGGATGTTTATCCTTGGCATTTAAAGGGGTTTGTCTGATTTTTTTTTTCTTTGCTGTACATGTTTATGAGGGAAATGGCAAATTTAACTACGTTGTAGTTTCTGTTATTTTAGAGGTATCACAGCTCCCATTCACGCAATGGCAGAGAATCCTGGAAATACCACATCGCAGAGGTGAGCAATCACTCAGTCCCGTACAACTTCCCTGCACTTTCCCTGCAGCTCAGCAAATGTTTCCTGTTCACGCTTATACATAATTGCATTTTGAAAGTTGCCATTGAATCTGCTTTTAGCTCCATCTCAGATAGTCCAGCGCAAACAATAACAACTCATTGCATCAAAACAAATCTCCTCCTATATCTTTTGATTACTGACCCTTCGGACATGGATAATGGTTTTTCCCTGTTTATGCTACCAAAATCCACCATAATTTTGAACGCCAGTATTAAATCTCCTCTTAAAATCTCTGTGCTTTAAGTAGAACAATTCCAACATTTCCAGAGACTGTAAGAACTGCAGATGCTGGAAGTCAGAGTCAGTAAATGTGGAGTGGGACAAACACAGCAGGTCAGGCAACCTCCTGTGCCTTTGATGCTGTCTGACCTGCTGTGTTTGTCCAGCTCCACATTTATTGAATACAACATCTCTGGTCTCTCTGGGGGAAGCAAAGGCCTAGTGGTATGATTGCTGGACTGTTAATCCACAGACTCAGATAACATTCTGGAGACCCAGGTTTGAATCCCACCATGACAGATGGTGGAATTTGAATTCAATAAATATCTGGGATTAAAGAGTCTAATGATGACCATGAATCCATTGACGATTGTCGGGAAAAACCCATCTGGTTCACTAATGTCCTTTAGGGAAGGAAACTTACCTGGCCTGGCCTACATGTGACTCCAGACCCACAGCAATGTGGTTGACTCTTAACTGCCCGATGGGCAATAAATGCTGCCTAGCCAGCGAAGCCCTATTCCTGTAAATGGATAAAAAAAACCAGCTAAAGTCTCTTTGATTATTCTAGTAAACCTCTCCTGCTTCCTTTCCAAAAATGTGCTATCTGAAGTTTATGGGATACTGTAGCAAAAAGTCACTGGCCTGGTGATCCAGAGTGGAGATAGATCTAGGGATAAAAACAGGAAGTGCCAGAGAAACTTAGCAGCCTGGCAACAACTGCAGAGAAAGAAATACAGTTAACATTTTAAGACTCAAATGATCTCCTTCAGAACACATCTGAGCACAGCTTCTGAAAAAGATCATATCAGACACGAATCTAACTCTCCACAGACGCTGCCAGACTTGCTGAGTTTCTCCAACACTTTCTGTTCTTTTTTATTCCAGATTTCCAGCATCCTCAGTATTTTGCTTTTGTTTTAGTTCTCTGGAGACATGGGTTTGAATCTCACAGTGGCAGAAAATAAAATGTGAATTCAATAAAATCTGGAATTAAAGAAAATGCTAGAGTAATGGTGACCATATAACCATTATGAATTGTTATAAAAACCCCACCTGTTCACTGATGTCCTTTAGGGAAGGAAGTCTGTCATTTTCATGTGACTCCAGACCCACAGCAGTGTGCCTGACTCTAAATGCCCTCTGAAGTTGTCTAGAAATCCACTTGGAGCAATTAGGGACAGACAAATAATGTTGGCCTTCCCAGTGAAGCCCACATTCCATGAAATAGTTTTTTTAAAAATTGAATCCAACTCTCCAGGTGAGCCCAATGTGTCAATAAATAGGATTTTTTAAAAATAGCATGCAGGCTACTTGGTCCACCAACACTGGCCTTCTGAAGAGCATCCCAGCCAGACCCATTCTCCAAACCTGTAACCCTGCATTTTCCATGGCTAATTTACTGAGCCTGCACACTATGGGGAATTTACAGTGGCCAATCTATCTAACCTGCACATTTTGGGCTATGGAAGAAAAAACACACAGACACTGGGAGAACATGCAGACTGCACACAGTCACCAAAGGCTGGAATGGAACCCAGTCACTGACACTGTGAGGTAGTAGTGCTAAGCATTGCTCTACTCTAATGAAAACATTCCCAACATCTCTAATTCCAGCACGTAACTCACATCAGCAAGTCAAGTTGGCAGTCATATCTTATGGCATCCTAATATATCAGGTCAGAAAACAGTTTTAAATCGTAGTCACTGGTCCAAAATCTAAAGAGACTTGTATATTTTCACTTTATGTTAATTTATTAACTCCCTATGATCTGTATTAACTCCCTATGATCTGTACTGTCCCTTCTCATTTCTTCATTAAATTGTCTTTTGTTTTTGCCGTGATCTGATGGTCATTAGCATATCCTCAGTTATTTATGTTCCCTTTCATTACATCCATCCAGAATTATTTCCTTTACCACTGCCCCCCAGATGCATTTGATGTGTCAAGCCATACCATTTCTGCAATCTATCTCCTGTGTGTTCAACAATCTAGACCCAATCTAGATTGTGTATTTATTTCTATAATGGGGATATATCCATGTTTCTGAGATTCTGATTCTATCAAAAACTTCAAAAGCAAAATATCGCAGTTGGAAATTGGATGTAAAAGCAGAAAAGGCTGGAGATACTAATGATAGGTCACAGTGCAGTTTTGATGAACAGTTAGAGGCCTCAAACATTAACTGTCTTCAGCTATCCACAACTGCAGCCAGCTCTGGTGAGTGCATTGCAGTATACGTAGAATCATAGAACTTTACAGCACAGAAGATTCGACCCATTGTATCTGTCCCGGCTCCCAAGAGAATTATCCCACTAGTCCCATTTTCCAGCCTTATCCCAGTAGTCCTCTAAAGTCACACTTTTAAATATATATCCGGCTCTCTTTTGAAACCTCATATGGAATCTGACTCTGCCACTCTCCCAGGCAGCGTGTTCCAAATCCTAACAAACTCCTCGCTCTGTTGATGACAATCTTGAAATCATGACCCGTAGTTACTGACGTACCAACTAGTGAAAACAGAATCTCCTTCTTTCCCCTGTCAAATTCGTTCATAATTTTGAACACATCAATAACGTTACCTCTTAATCTTCTCTGGTCCAAGGAGAATAAACCTAATTTCTCTAATCTTTCTTTGGATCTAAAATTCCTCATTCCTGATGTCATTCTAGTAAATCTCCTTTGAACTCTCTCCAGGGTTTTAACATCCTTCCTTAAACAAGCTGCCCAGACCTGAACACAATACTCCAAATGTGGTCTGACTAATGATTTGCAGAGGTGATGATTAACGTCACTTCCTTGCT